AATTGTCATCAACGAACTTTTTTAAATATTTCGCAGCTGCAATTTTCCTAGAGGGCGAACTGTTTCGATGTTTGCTCGTACATAGCTTATGTATGTTATTCGATGACGCCAAACCCTTTTCAAAGGTACAATTTCGTCTCAAGCCACAAATAAACTGTTTTAGATAGCTATCTAAAGCGTAGTAATACCTCAAATTCCATTGACTAAGGTATTCTTTAGCGGAGCAAGTTAACGGCTTTAAAAGTTCATTTTTCTCCATTGTATGTTGGACATATCCCAGTTCTTGAAGTTTAGCCATCTCACTTTGCCAAATGTCTGCATGACATTGCTCATCTAAAGAAATTCCATAGTTTGTTAATGTATTCATATAATCGTAGAAATAGTCATTGGCAATAACGGTCAGTACTGGTGATAAATGTAAAAGCATAGTCAAACTTTTGGGCGAGTTATAACCGTACAATACATTGAGTGAACGTGCAAACTCGGTTTGTAGCCACACAACTATATTACTCACGTTCCACTCACTAGGCGGCATTTCTACTACTCCTTTGCTCGTAATGAGCAACAGTTGAGGCAACCGTTGTTGGGTATCGTTCGCTCTATGTAAAATATCTTTTGCTGCTGGACCAATCGCGGCAGCAAAGCGAAAACTCGAAACTGGATCAGTTTCCAGCCATTTTATGCCAGCACTTACAAATTTGCGAAACTCCAATTGTGATCCATTGCCGAAAACACCGAGGACTACGGCATCTCTTTGCATAGTCAAACGTTTTAATTCAAGCCTTGAGTTCAATCTCTCAACTGGAATAAATATAAAATCAATGAAACGTTGAACAGCTTCTAAAGTCCATTCTCCGTTATACTGCAAAACAATACGATTACTATAACGAACGACTAGAGTTGGCCATTTGTTTGGAGCACCTGAGCCTAGTGACAGAGGGTATGTTTTACTACAATTGCATGCAAGATGATAGCAGTCGATAACACCGAAAAATATCCGATATTCGTAGACTTGTGCAATGTGTTCGTACACCAGCCGAGCTGCTTGACTGTCAGTGCTCCAGGTAACATGGTAAAACAAGAACGATAGCTCATATTGTTCAGCTTGTTTCCGTATTTCATTTACATCTTTTCCCGGACACTCAGCCAACAAGGAATACGCTATTCCTATGGAAATATATGCAAGTGTTATAAATACAAGTAAACTGTAAGCAAATATATTGTTCCTTAACATTATTTTCAATTGGTGCAAACAGCTGCAACCAGTGGTACTTAGGGATGCAAACGATGCATCGATATTTTTGAAACATCGATAATATCGGTTCAAACTCGATATTTGCCACCGATGTTTACAATTTCATAAAAACGCTAAATTGGCGATACATCGATGTTTTAAACATCGACTTTAGTTTGTCCCCTTTCAGACACGTCAAGTCTGCTCGTTCGTTGGCGAAGGAGGTGGGAAGAGTACAGATACCTCCGTACCGTCAATTCGTTTCAAGATTTCTTGTCTCTTTTGATCTTTTCGTTGCTTCCCATTTAAGAACCAAGGTCTTGAATTCAATTAAAGTTGACGCGTGTGGAAGCAAATAGAAAACACAAAAGAGAATGCGAAAAAAATTGCTTTCAAGACTTGATGTGTCTGAAAGAGGACTTTGACCCAGACTTGCTTTGGCTTCTACTTAAGCTCGATATACAGTTCAATGCGAGCGTGAACTTTTTATTTTGACTAATAGCTTTGCTTTTACTTCACGTTATGCAACAGTAATATATCTATTTCAATCGCATTCTGTTTATTCTGGTTGTGAAATGGGATTATCCGGAATGTATAAAGAAACGCAGCCTTTACAACACCACCTTGTATAAATTCGCCTTGAAATAAGCTGATTTTACAACACCACCTTGTATAAATTCGCCTTGTATGGTCCCGTACAAGAATTCGGTGATGGAAACTAAGGCTTTCTGCACATTGGTCGTCCAATCAAAGTTGCTTCATGGTCACAATCATGATGCAACGATTACATGACGACTACAGTTTCACACACTCGGTCGTGATATTTCCATTCCTTTGGCGTCTAAAAATTCTGGTTGATATTTTCGCGAAATATTTACAAAAACCTGCGATTTTTTAAATATAGACTGTGCTGCTACAATTCTAGACATAATTTTTCAGTAATATCTGTTCTTCTCTTTTCCTGAAATGTGTTTTGTGCATGCACACAGAGACTTTTTACAATTTCGGCATAATTTATAGTTAAAACGCTCACGTTTATTGAATTTTAATGCAAATATCCACTTTTTAATAATTTCCACAGATTTTATGCAAAAAACTCATTTTTATGCAAATATTAACTTGTTCACTAATTTTCCCCATAAAATGTAAACAAACAAACAGCAAACGACAGTGCCGTTCAAACAGAGTTTATCCCGATGCAACCCTGTTAATATATGTGTCAATTCTTGAAAATAATGAGCATTGAAGAATAAAAATTAAAGACTCAAACAGCCTTGTAAAAGTTATCTTAGCTATTAATTTTATAACAAAGCTTAGCATAAATGTAATTTCAACTACTATTTAAATGGTTTACTTTATACAGAGTTGCACGAAACAACCGTGTGGACCAATTCCGTGTTTATATATATTGTTATCGATAAATTGGCAATTACGAAACAATCGGCATAAAAAAACTAGTACCTTCCGATAACTTAATATAGTGCTTCTGTTTACCTAAAATCTTTGAACGAGTACAATTTCAAAGGGCGTTGATAAATTTTAAGTTAATTATGTGAGTTAACGATTATTCTCTTTATTTGATTATGTTTTTGCATTATTGAACCTATGAAATAAGAAAGGGCATCAAGTAATAAATGGAATGTGCAGATCACTTAGTTTAATTTAATGAATAATTTAAGAGGGCGCCACACCCAATTCCGTAGCTACATACATACGTGATAGTCATTGAATTTACATACTTATATATAAAAGTACATATACATATGTTATATTTTTCTATTTATTAAATGAAGTCCTCGGCCATCGAATTTTCCTTCAAATTCTGAACTCAACTGCAAAGATATTTACAGATCATTTGAGCAGTACTAAAATTAAGTCTGTGCCTACTGCAGCGCACTGATCATGTCAACTATTGAAGAGCGTACGGCTTACGAGAAGAATCCCTATTTCACGGGACACATATATGGCAATTTTTCCCCCTTTTATGTGACCATTGCTGTATGTACTGTTGTTCTCGGTTCCATCATCTTTGTAAATATTATTTTTGGGTGTTGCTCAAAGCACCGTAAATACTGGAAAGATAGACATACAGGTATAAATTGAATTGTTCAGCAATGTCGAATAGTATTAATGAAAATTCATTTAACAGGTAATCGCTGGTTGGTTTCCATTTGGTCAGCTACGCCA